CAAGTGTGCTGAACGTCCTGCCTGATGGCGTCGCTGTGTAAGTGGAAATGGCGTAAGAAGATCGTAAAGGAGACTTCCGATGCTGCAGCGCTGGTACTTCATCTGCACGACGGAACTCAAGTGTGCTGAACGTCCTGCCTGATGGCGTCGCTGTGTAAGTGGAAATGGTGTAAGAAGATCGTAAAGGAGACTTCCGATGTTGCAGCGCTGGTTCAGTGTTCCAATTCACCTAAATGTGGGAACAGGATACACCAGGCATGCGTTTTGGACTTGCTTTCCAAGAATGATGAAACTAAAGGTGTTTGCGCGGCCGTCTGCGGCAAGCGCTGCTTCAATGCCGTGTTAAAAGCTTTGAAAGCAGCTGACAATCCTGTCTCGACATCCAAGAAGCGGGTTGCGTGGCACAACGACGGCCCCACTCCAAGTATAAGCTCTGTTAGTTGCCTCATCGATTGGATGACTACTGGTAGCAATTACTCTCGCTATCGAGGTTAAGACGCTCAAAGTTGTGAAAGAAAGAGCACCATTGCTGGGGAAGTTGTGGGTTCATCTCGTCGTGCGGTGTGACGACGTATCGGACTGCAAAGGATATCCAACCCAAGATCTTGAGTCTTGAGCAGTCGTTCAAGACGACTGCCGACTGGCTAGGAGCAACGGGGCAATGTGTTCAGGATGAAAAGTGTCTCCGTGATGCGATTTTATCTCGATGCCCATACTACTATGACTTGTACGACATCATGAACAACCGGGACAGCACGACGTGTTTGATGCTCAATACGGACGCCATCGATGTGAGTGAGGAAAGTAGCACTGACGACGATTCTGATGATGGCTCTGCATCTAATGAAGGTGATGTCAGCTCGAATGAGGAGGTCACTACCAAGCCCACTGGGATTAACAGCGATGCGGTAGTACCTCGTGAAAGCGAGGGTTCGCCAAGTTTGGTGGCAGCTGCAAACCCCAATCAAACTGATGGCAAGAACAGTGGTAACAATCGTACACGGCGTAAGAGTACGCCGAGGTCAATTGGTTCTGTCAGCTCGAAATCCAAGGACACCGCAGATGAGCTGAGCTCGAGCTACCCGATGGCAGAATTGGAAAACAAAACTACTACTTGCTCAAGAAAGCGTTTTCAATGGCAGACGCTGAAGCTAAAGCGTCAAAAGGTAGACGCCAGTGCAATCGAGACTCAAGCCCGTATTGCTGAGTCAACCGCTCGAAAGCATCACTTTGAGGCGCAGACCGAGAATTGTGAACTTCAACGAAAAGTGGCTCTGCTGCGTGAGCGACACAAACTTCGACAGGAAGGTGTCCCGCCTCATGAGATTGAAGCACTACTCCCGATTCGCATCCCGGA